CGTTTTGCATATTCCTGCTTATTGCCTAATTTTCTGCGGTCTCTTTAAACGTGCTGAGCAAGGCTTGAAGAAACTCCGCGATGCTCAGATTATGGCCTGACTTAGGGGTTTGAACAAGTTAGTGTCAGCATTACGTTTGGTTGAAGCAGTTGATCTTTTACGTTAAGGCCCCAGGGATTAGGCCATAGCTGGTCATATGCCCTAAGAGATAAAGTTCGGAATACAAGTCGGTATCGCAAGTGCTATACGGGTTATCTGTTTAAGTCCATGCAGCGTATATAAAAATAACTAAAGCATACAACACAAAAATGTATGCAGTGAAACAAACCACTTTCTTTCATATCATTACAACTTTTACGCGAAAACCTCAATTATTTCCCTTGCTTTTGCTTTTTCGTTAACCCCGTGCTTGTTTGCAAGCGTGATATATATGACATGTCACTAAACTATCCGGCGCAAATTCTACCATGAATCAAAAAATGACAACAAAGTCTTGTTGTGCTGTCTCCAACTTTATCTCGGGAAGAAAATGTTTCAGATCAAGAAACTTTATGACTGAACTTATGCGACAAATTTGGCCCCGAATAAGCTGTACACGGTTATTCTATAATAAGTTTGTTTATTTTCCTCGACCGTTTTTTACCTGAATAGGGTACACGCGATATAGAAGACGATTAACCGTAAAGACAAAAAGCGTCTCCAATATGAGGACGTAAGCGAAGAAGAGATTTGATTCTCGAATCATCATCTAAAAGTAAAGCAACAGAGTGGCGAATAAGCTCGTTTTCAGAGAATCGTATTTATGCCAATACATCTCAATATATATCACTACTTGGGAATAAAATTGTCATGGGAAAAGAAAAGAAAAGAAAAACACAGATCACTAAAAACGATTTCATCATGAGATCGGAAATCGGGTTCATCACGATCACATGTTTGTTTGTCCACTCATCCGATTATCGAGATTACTCACGATACGGTTTGTATGAGGGGTGGGCCAGGGAAGCTTTAGCGCTAGCACAAATTGTTTTTGGGCACACAGAGGGGGTTGTGCAGACGAATGCCCACCGCTTCTGCCGTAGCCAACATCCGACAGCGAACCTACCTCGATAATCGCCCCACAACTTTGTACAGGAGTCGGAAAGCCTCGCACACGTTCATGGTGTGATTTTTTTCAGCTAGGTGTGAAACCACTGCACTGATGAGTGACTTATTCGTTCCGGTGTTCAGCCACGCGGGGTGGTATTCACGAATCCGTTCGGACAATCGCCTGACATTGGGGCCTATGTACGTTGTTNGCATTGTTGAACCTGTTTAATAGCTCTGTTGTATTCGGTGTTGCACCGATGACACAATAAATATCATCTACGTACCGTGTGTATAGTACACAGTCTTCGCTGGATGATTGTAATTGGGTGTTTTCAACCTTCGCCATGAATAAATCCGCGAAAAGCGGTCCCAGCGGAGACCCCATGGCCACGCCATCCTTTTGTCGATAGATCTCATCGTTAACCTCGAACGGAACAGTATACGTGCAGAAATAAGGCAGTTGTTTAAGGTCATCCATAGGCAGACCGAGCTCTACATTATTGGTTTGTAAATAACTGCACAGGTATTCAATCGTTTCGCCGATGGGAACGTTTGTGAACAACGAACTGACGTCCAGCGAAAGCATTATTCGATCGACCAAGTTTAGGTCACGAATTTTGTCCCCTAGGTGAACTGCCGAAGGTTCACCGACATGATCATAGCCCCGGATGTTGGCTTTTCGTTCTCTTACTTTGGCAGGAATACACCGCCACGTGAAGACAGTGGGTAGGGGTTCCTCAGCGGAAGCTATTTGAGACGCTTGGTTATATGGGAGTATTTTGCTAGGTGCAAGAGAGGGATGACCAGCCGCAACCTGAGACACCAACCACCGATCATACTGAGGCTTTCGGAGGACAACAAATCCTGTTATTCCAATAAATATGTGGAAACGTCTGAGTTATCCAACCGGAAGTATTCGAGTAAATCGTATACACAAGGAAGCACACCTCAGGCTAGAATAAGCAATCGGCGAAAAATCGTCACACAAGACAGGAAACGTATAGTGGATGGATGAACGTCCCAGTGTGATAAACTCCGAACAAACTCACGGCGCATTCGATAATTAGTTCCTCAGTGGAACACACTTCGGAAAGCCCCATTATGGTCTCAGGTGGATGTTCTAGGTTGTGGCCGGTTACATTTCCGTGAATAGCCCGAAACGCTTCTCTACGACTGATCGTCTTAAGCAATTCCTGTTGGGGAATCCCTATTTACTGCCTCCACGTGGTGAGTGTTTTCTCACTAAAGTGACAGAGTGAAAACACAATAACTTAGTCGGTGAATCGTGGAGAGATCATTTAGACTAAGTAACGAAATCCCTGACTCCAAATCAACCAAGAAGTGGAAGAACAACAACTTGATCCTGGTTATGGTTTCAAGCCTGATGGAGCATTGGACACCTTGAATGTTTGACCACGTCCAAAGGGCTCATGATCCGATGAACCGGACATTGGTCCCCAAAGAAGTGTGGCTTTTACTCACCGTCTCGCTACCTTGAGGGTCAGGTTTTGGTTGGTCAAAAGCTCCGGAGAGTGTGTTGCCCAAGAAAATTCACCAAATTTGGCCTGTGTAACTTGGCAGTAATGTGTCCCCGAGAAAGTAATGGATCTATTGTTTTGTTAGAAATATTATCGTGCCGCGATTTGTTTGGTATACAGTTTGGACTCAGACCGGTGTGAAATATGGATACAGTATAATAATAAATCGAGCATACGGATATGACTCAATAAGGTCCTTGAGATAGACCAAACAGTGTTAAATGCTTGCAAACGGAAGATAACAGATCACATTTTGTCGGATGAGCCCAGTAGCGACAAAAAGTCAAGCAACATGTGAAACCTCCCACGGATGTGTGAATGAGGTGGGAAAAAAGTAGGCTACAGTCCATTTAAACATCACTTATACCTGATTTCTCATTAACAACGTGTAGGCCACTCCCGACTGACCGGCACGTGCCGTTCTGCCCACTCGATGGACGTATGTGGTTACATTGGGTGGCATGTCGTACGAGACAACACATTCGACGTCTTTGATATCCATTCCGCGAGCCATGGCATCAGTACAAACTAGCACCTAACATGAACGCATTGGGAGGGGAAGGTTAGGAGTCAGGGTGTGATCACCGAGAAAGGGATAAAATGAGGCATATAAATAGAGCGAATCAAATGTGTGATAATTCAAGCAAAACAAAACACCTCTTGGTGCACTGGTTACTTAATTCTTAATCCAAAAGATGCCAAACATTGCCAGTCAACAGTTATGAGGAAAATTGTGTTGGAGTGTTGTTTGAATTAATCGTTTTCTTTTTACTGCATCAATTGTATTTTTATGATTGGTCCGTATAAGACTTTAATTTTGCCCATCGAATAATCTGATTGGTTCAGGGTTGTATGTAAACGCCTGTGATTCCCTTCCCAAATGTGATTCGTGTCCAGTGGAATAGAGGAAATATATCGAGAGCATTTCCTGAAAAACCGACTTTTGACAAAAATGATTGCAGACAGAAGGCTCTTTCAATAGCATATCAAAAGTAGGATATTATGGATTGGGCAGGATTTGACGGGAAACACGAATCAAATTCACAGGGAGTCAAAAATATCACAAGGCGCCCGGTAACTTACAGTGAGTTCGCCACGACTGAATGCATTGAGCACTCGTTGCCTTTTCTCGGGTGGCATCTGGGCTGAGAGTTCGGAGACTTGAACACCTTTGAACTGTTGTAGTAGTGTGGAAAGTCGAGAGGCGGTGATCCGTGCGTTCGCGAAACAGAGAATACGTTGAACATTCTTGTGCCGAATAAGATGCACAATAAACATTGCCCGTGTTTCCGGGGTTACGAGGACCACATTTTCCTGTGTGGGTGAGGCGTCAAAAAATAACACGATAGTCGAACAATGGCAAGGTTTAAAATCGATACGCGCAAAATATGAATACACCATTAGAAAAGAAATCCCTTGTGCACTACCAATATAACGAAATTAGAGCTTCATTGTGAGTTAAATCGTTCAGTGTAAACATGCTCACCGTTAGATGTGTGTACTACATCACAGACAGAACATGTTCGTCATCGGCCCCGCCACATATGTATATGTTATCTGCGCTATTCGATAAATGATGAATAGAGGATGTGAACTGATAAGGTGGAACATGGAGGTGGCCAGACACGTGAGCGACGAAAAATTGCAAGTGTGAAGACAAACAGTAAGTGAACGTGTGAATGTATTGGGAACCGAGCAGTAAAACAATCCTGAAACATTGAAAAATGAGAACAAACAAGCCTTCACTATGTTTGCAACCGTTTTCTTTCAATTGCACATTCTTGCCATCATACATTTTCCAGGCTGGCAAAAAAACATATTAATAATGATGACCATATACAGAAAGCAATGAACTATGGTATTGAGGATAAAACTAATCGGCCTCGTAAGTCAGCTCATGCACATTCACGTTGATCTGGAAACTTCTGGACAATTTGGTGTGCTATACCGTCGTAAGAATGAATCCCACGGTAAGGTTAAGGACACCAGTGATCTGAGTTTCGGTTCATGAGTTAAAGAGCTAAATCGACTCCCAGTGGGGAAGTGTGGGATAAAGGCGGACAGAAGCATGGTTGTCTACCACCAAAAGTGAGTCGTGGTCACACTGTTGGAACCCCGAACCTCAAGATCCGGAGTGAGCCACTAGCAGTGACTCTAGCACCAGCAACTGATGGACGAAATTTGCTTGGCTCTAATTAGGCGCGACAAGGCAATGATCAACCGAACGCTTACCACCTTCGTTATGACAGTAATTCATTTCGGACGTTTGATTCCTCGGACGACCCTGCAGTGAATAGCTTTCACATACAACACTGATTCTTCTTTTTGTTACACCTCCATCAATTCGGATCGGTTAGTGAGACCGAAATAAATATTGATGGACTAAGTATGCGTTGGACCGGCATGATAATGTCAACCATGCACAGCAGGACAATCGAATGTTTTGCGTGTGGTTTAAGCATCGAATCTTAAAGTGATGGGGTGACCACCACCCGTGCAAATATATATCAACCAGAAGCGTAAAGATGCCCACGGCACATGAGTTGTGCAACCAAAACAAATGCATCATATCCTACACTGCGGAGAACTAAAGAAAGAAAGAAGTCACCGGTCTCATACGTGCACAGTACCAATGTCAAAGTGGAAATAGAATTTTGGTAAACTGAGGTTGCAAGGATATTGGGAATATGCAGAGCACCATTGTTTACGACACTCAGCCACATCGCAGTGTCTGCAATCATTGAAGCCATGACGAAGTCCTCATGTTGGATTTTAATCTGATCGCCCTTGATGTTTTCCGTCTATTGCCTGCATCAGCAAATATCGCAAATCGGGGAAACCTACAAGGTGACCTGCGTAACCCGTCCCCAACCAACACAACCTATAGAGATCGAAATTTGCCCATTATGTGACCGCCCAAATTCAGCCCTGTTTGTCTTGCTGCCCCATCTGATGATCCATGCAATGCGGCGCAGACAGTGGTGTTTGAAAACCGACGAATCATATTTCTCCTGTCTCGAGACCGCCAAGTCGCTGAACCGCATAGCAACACTAGCTGAAATGCTGCAGTGTATAATTGACCCTTCATTACTAGGCGCATGCCGCAAAAGCGCAGAGCCGTCTCAAGTTGGGAATTGCCTATTGTATGTGTCTCGACACTTCATTTGTGATGGGTTCTCCAGGTGACATACAGCTGCCCTAGTTGATGGTCGTCCTTCGTTTCAAGCGCAGTTTTCCGATAACCTCGCAAACTGGGTGTGGAAGCAAGGTACCTGGGGTTTCCTCCCGACGATGAGAGAAGTCTTTACAGTTCATTGGACAGCTGATGCCTCAGTCAATAAGGTGGTCACATCCAAGTTCCGTTTGCTTCATTGAGTGCATGAAGCTAAGAGCTGAAACCGAACAGCGCGCCGTCGATCAACGCATCAAAGAAAAACAATGAACCGGAATCCGAAGGCGCTGCGTGACAGGTTTGTAAAATCCTCCACACAGATGCCTTGATCATGTCCCATTTTAGATCTACGCCTCACTGACTCGTGGGTTAGACTTTTGAGTTGTAGGCTTCTGTAAAGGTTATCGAAGAAAACCCCCTTTTCCCTATGGGTTGCCGTGAAGCATGCCGTGTCTTAAAGTCTTTGGCATCTGTTTGGGGAAGAAACTATTTCATATCTGTTTATTTCTTCCTCTCGCTGCCATAAACAGCTGAACTGGAAAATATTCAGGTTATAAAAATGCAATGAAACGCAAAGAAATATAGAAAAACCTTGAACCTTGATGCATGCAGGCACTAGTTGTATGTGCTCATTTTCATTTTATTAGTCCACTGAACTTTTCAATTTTCTCTGCGATCTTGCTTACAGCCTTCCTGTTTTCCTCCTATTGTTCACCCAAATGGGCAGCTAAAAGACAGCAACCAAAAGCAACGCACGGAAATGCTTCATGGTTGTTTAAACTGAACTAAACTGATTGTCTCGGTTGAAATTAGCAAACTTTAGTCAGCCCAAACACATATGGATATTTTGTCCGGACGTAAGCACGGAAAGTGACATACCAGATATGATCGTTATACTTCCTTTTGCAACGTTTTGGATTGGCTCGCCCAAATTCACAGGGACTAGAGACTACGAACTAGTGTGTTGTGTATCGTGACAGAATTGTACAAGCAGCGACATTTACAGTTTAGTATAAAAAAGCTCGTAACGCCGTCACAGAGGAGGAGTACCCAAGAAAAGACAAACGCATGCGAAAGAAAGAGAGAAAATAAAGTTCACTCAACCCAAAAAGGTGATCCGCAACCTTGTCGTTGACAGTAAGAATACAGGTCAAACACGAAATAGGGAATTTTATAAATTGAAACATTTGGATCCCGTTATCAATCAGAACATTCAAGTCAGAAGACAAAAACACTGCGAGAGGAATTCCTTTCGTATACTCTCTTCGGTCGCGTACGTATAACATCAAACAAGATAGACAAATGGAGCTAATTAATAAATCTAGTTAGCATTATCCATATGTGTGTGATTGTGTACAGTGTGGAATGCACGTGATTGGTTACAATCAGGGAAGGCCAAGGGTAAAGGTCCTACGCTTTTGGACGCACAGCGTGGGTTTGTTGTGAGCGATCGATAATACCTCAAGTATCCTTAGTCGGTTTGTCGGATGACGTAACAAAACCGAGAACGCGTTCGCAAGGTTTACCCTGTCGCCGCTTTCAACCAAGTGACGTGCAACGGCCGAAGCCGGTCAGAGTCTGTTGTGTGGGCTGATAGAATCACGCACATACTTGGGGATGTGTTCAGCCATTCTAGTCCGCAGTGATCGGTCGGTTCTACCAATGTATGCTTCGTTGCAGCTGCAACAGAAGGCGTAAATGCAATGGGAAGTAGGCCCGACTGGACGACGATCTTTGAGTGGGGGGAGCGGGAGGCGCCGTGTGATCAAATGGAGTCTTAATGCGGCAGCGTAGTAGGTTTGTTGTAAAGCGTTTTTGATACGCTGTGTGATAGGTTGCACTGTTGACTCCCCTTTGCATGGCAACGAGGTGTGGATAGTCTTTTTAGGCACCCGATGGTTAGTGGCTTCGGTCCCGTTTCCTGTTCGATTATGAAAACGAACGAAAATTCCGGGTAACCATTTACCCGTAATGCGCTATAGATATTCTCCGGTTCACTCAGTATTGTGTCCTCTATACATATCTTTCACGCTCTATGGAAACACTTTCAAACCACGGCTCTCTTGTGTTCCATTGGTGAGCAACTGTTGAAGTGAAGGTACTGCCCGGACCAAGTCGTCTTGCGGAAGATAGATCGTTGGATAGAACCGTCACTTTCACGGGTTATTCAGACATCAAGGAATGTTAACGAATTTGCCTTCTCCAATGCGAACGCGTTCTCGGCTTTGTTACGTCATCCAAACGAACCGACTAAGGATACTCGAGGTATTATCGATCGTTCACAACAAACCCACGCTGTGCGTCCAAAAGCGTGGAACCTTAACCCTTGGCCTTCCCTGATTGTAACCAATCACGTGCATCACACAAACTGTACACACACACACACACACATATATATATATATATATATATATATATGTATATATATATATATATGGTTAACACTAACTAGATTTTTTAATTAGCTTCATTTGCCTATCTTGTTCAATGTTACAGGTACGCGACCGATGCGAGTATACGAAAGGAATTCTTCTCGCAGTGTTTGTCTTCTGACTTGCCTGTCCAAATTTTATACACGTAAACCCTCGCACGAACCAGCCGAAAATTCGACCGAGTTGAAGCATGAGAATAACCTGGAGGAAAGTCCGATTAAAGTGGTGAATGATCCGTAGAGATTTTGCCAGCAAAATATCCCCAAGAATCAACGTGGAGGTCGCACAACTTACTAACAAGCCCACAGAAAATAGTGAAATGCGACTGATAATCGCTAAGGCACGACGAAACGCACTGAAACCTTTTCTAAGTACAGAAAGAAGAATACGAATACAGAAAGAAGACCCACACGGATCAAATTCTGGGATACATGAGCAACCACCCAACCTGCCACAAGAGGAGT